CAAAATCAGGAACATTTTTCCTGTTTCATATTCATAGTTTCTTCTTTATGAGTGACTGATTTATTCTGCTGCGTGCCCCCAGGGTGTGCTTTGTCCAAAATAAAGGCTGCCAAAAAAAAAATGAGAACAGGGAGCAAGTGAGGTGGGGGGAGTTCAACCGATGTTTTTAAATGCTGTGAGACTATTGCACATCTTGCATCCTCGTGTGTGAATTCACCTTATGGTGTTTCTTAACAAAAGCATACTCACTAAATAAATAACTTCAGCACAATGCAAGACATCATGCCTGAAAATAGAAAGCTGCTCCGAGACAATTACTCCATGCTGTGAAATCTGCTCTCTCCTGCTTCTGTATTGTCTTAAGTTGTATTTGTGCTGCCATAGCATGTGCTTGCGCTATAAAGCACTGTGACTGTGCGGTAGAAAGTACAAATGCATAGAAAGCAAGCACCCATAATTATTTTAGGTTCTGGTTTTGCCTAAGAGAGTGGTTTGATTTTCAGTGACTTTTTTGCTCTCTGCCATGTATGGATGTTGAAAACAAAGGGAGCACAAATTACTTTGACAATGTCAGCAAAGCCGGCTCTGCGGAGTGGGCTCTTTATGGAGAGCACAATGCCCGAATTACAGAAAAGCGGACTGCAAGGCAGAAACTTATAAGCCACTACGTGCAAATATGTTTCAGCAAAGGAACCGGCAACTTGACAAAAGGCACAGCTCACAAGGCCGCCTGCAAACTTTGCCCAGGTGTCGAGGAGCAGTTCATTAAGGGCTGCAATGAGGGGGATCCTTCTGCAATGGGAAGCTGTTGTTAAGCACCCCGACAGATGAGCGCAGACCCTTCTCCTGCCACAATAGCTGCTCACACCAAGCAAGACTCATTAAATATTCAGTTCCAGCCTCAAGCAGCTCATTAAGTCAGCAATGAGCAGTGACGCTGGTGTTGGAAAACCCTGCCTCAGTTAACATCACCATGCAGAATCTCCTTGGATCTCTTGATGTTATTCTGCTCAGTACCTTTTCTGTGATGACCAGCTTGTGCTCTCTGCTTTGCATTAAATACAGGTAAAAAAGAGTCAGGTGGATTTAAGTTCTCCTATTCTTTATAGGCCTTTTTAGAGATGAGTCCCAGGGCCCAAGCTAAGTGTCTATTGCATTTTTCTGTAGCAGCATATGTAATACAAGTTTGCAGGAGGAGGATGGGATGAGGGTTATATGGCTGTAGTGTTAAAAAACAAACAAACAAAAAACCGTAATGTTTGAAGGATAACTTTGATAGCAGAACATCACGACATGCAGCAGTTTCAGATGCTGTATTACTGTCTGTCGGCTGTTACACAGCAGAAACTTTTACAGTAAGTGTATTTTCCCTGGAAATGCTAGCGTCTCAGGTGGATTTTGGGTTGAACTGTATGCTGAATATGTTTCTTGTGTGCAGAGTTTCTTTCTGAATGATGTATTTTAAACCTGTTTTGCAACCACTAACTTTTGTGAGTGTGATTTCATATTCAGTAGTACTTAGCAATAATATACAGAGGCATTTATGATGGGTGGATGTCAGATGTCAATGAATTAGAGCACACCAGAATCCGGAATTAGGATTGTAATTGTAGAAAATGCACATATGTTTTCATGCATTGATGTTTTAAAACTACAATGTCTGAAAGTATGGAGCAGAAATGGAACAGAAATGGAGAAGCAGAACATGTGCAAAAGTTTTCGGCTATTTTTTCAGAGGACAGTTTTTCACAGCCTGAATCTATTTTTTTTCTTTTTCCTTTAACAGAAAGTGTTTTCAGACTGCCCATTTCTATGTGGAGGACAGCAGTTCCCCCCATGTGGTCCCCAATGAAAGTATTCCCATTATACCTATTCCAGGTAAGACGGGCTTAATCTCCTGTGTTTGTGCTACTTGGAGTCTGTTTTAATTACATAAGGAAGAGAAGGTTATGCTTGTGATAAATCATGGGGTTTTGGTAGAAATTTGTTGTATCAGTGCTGCTTCATTTAACTTAAGGTGCTTTGCAATGGGGCTCTGAGTGCCAATGCTGTATTTTTCCATAGGTACCTCTCCCACATTGTTTTAATAGAAATTTCAGAATAACCTTTGTAAAATGTCAAAAACATAAGCAACACTTCTTAAAAACACTAAGGCATTGCATCCAGGGTGAAACTAGCTGCTCCATCAGGGCAGGTTGTAGACGAGGGATATGCAGCTCCACTGCTCTCTCAAGACGGGGGGACTTGCCCCCCACTTTCAGTGCGTGCAGAGGTGGTGTCTGCTGGGTCTTGGGGAGGAAAGCGAGACACAGGGATAAGCAAATAATCTCAAGTAAAGTCCAAAGCCATCTGTTAATTTGGTATTAATCAAGTTATCAAAGGTCAAATTCTCCTCTCAGCTATATTGAGAGTGAAGCTGGAAGCGGAGTTTAGCGCTATTCTCTCTTCATGAGGCATTTCCCCTGGGAATTATTAAGTGCAGGATCCAGCTCCCTTTAAGCAGTGATGACAGAGAGCAGCTTGGTGTTACAGTGGCCTTTGCAGCCACTGCCTTGTTTGATGTCGCTCGGTTTCACAAGCAGAATTAAGATACCCAAAATGTTGTATTGACCTCAGTCTGTCAAATGCTTGTACTTGTTACTTCAAGGTGTTTTACGTTTCCTTGTCATATTCTGTAATTTGTGTCGTTGGTCTAGGATTCAATCTGCAGCTAATTAGATTCGTTTTACCAAAAAGCATTCAAAGCCATCTCTGAGACACTGAAGAAACGTGTCCTAGAAAAATGAAAGAACCCAGTTACATTTTCCTTGATTTTATTCAGTAGATGTGTGACTATCCTTTCTAGACAGAGTCTTTCAAAATACCCATGGGACCTAATATGAAAGGTTAGCTATTACATTCCCACAGAAAATGTTAGGCCTTGCAGTCTGATGCTGTGCCACTGAAAATAAAAGAAAACATGCTATCATCTCTGCTCCTTTCTGTGGCAGACTAAGACGCACGTCCTGGCCGCTTCACTTCCTTAGCAAGGAGCCACCCTTCTTCTCCTTCTCCTTTAGGGTAATATGAGACAGGAGGTTTTAGTCTTAGACCACCTGCGATGAGTTTTCACAAAAGAACCTAGATAGTTGGAGAGCTCTGTTCTTCCTACTCTAAAACCGGGAGGAGCACTTCCCTGTTGGGGCTGCTTTTGGCAGTCAGTTTGATGGTCCCACCATGCCTGCTCTCGTGTGATACCTCTTTAGAGCTTGTGAGGAAGGGAAGGGTGGGCTAACCTGGACTCTGTGCAAAGCGGCGTGAAAACCTGGGGGATTCCGAGCACAAAGGCAGTGGGAGGAGAGAAATTCTCCCCTCAGAGAGAAGTCTCTTTGGCCGGTGTTAAGGTTTTTTTACTGTAATTGAGACAAATTTTTCGGAGATAAAGAAACCAGCAGAAAGCTCCATGTTCTCATGCTGTGATCTGTGTTGTTGAGACAGTGGTCCTTCCCTATTCCACATGTTTTGATGGTTAGTCCATTAAAGACTTGACGGCATTCGTATAAATTGTAATATAGGCTGAAGAAGCTCCATTAAAACTGTTCAGGTGGCAGGTACTATAAGGCCAGCACATACACTAATGCTTCTCCAGCAGCCATTCTAGCATGTAACAAGTGGCTGAGAACAGAACAACACTGCCTTTTCGGGTCATCTTTGCATGACTAGAGCAAGCCAAGCTTTTGGATCACAGGAGCTTGGGACTGACATGATGCAACCGTCACTGCAGTGCACACTGTGGTCTGCTCCTTAGAGCACAGTAAGGAAGAGCGGCTCACCCCTGATAATGGGCACTGCACATTAAGGCACCTGCTGAGCAAGTGCTGCAAGACACCTCGAGAAGCTTTGTAGCTAAAAATCTGCAAGGACTGCTGATGAGCTCTAAGGCACGTGAAGAACTGGGCCTTAGACAGAGGTTTAGTCTAGCTGGATGCAAAGGTGAATCCAGCCCCTTGAATTCCCAATCTAATGACAAGATTTTTGTTGATATAGTGGACGTTTAGACACCTCCATATAGACATCCAAATGGAGGTGCCTTAATCTGAAGCTGAATCATGGCCAGAAGGTCTTGAGAGAGAACGCACTGATGAACTGGAAGATCTTGGCACTGACAGTAAAGCTATTGAGGCCACCAAAAGCCAAATCACCCTCTGGAAGTTCTTCTCTCTGTGTGTGTATTAACTGTTACGTGTACAGGGAGTTTGTAATGAGGCTCAAGGTTAGTAGAGATAAATTCCAGCTATGTTGGCTTTTTCCAAAGATGGGAGATACTGCCTGGAAAGATCTTGAAGCTCTGCTAAACATTTTCCTTGTTTGGAGATGTAGAAGCAGCCTGTTTTCCCCCATGTACCTGTTGCTAAATGACACTCTTCTCTGACATCAGCTGCTGCTCCCACATAGACAGCCCACTGAAATGCCTTAAAAACATTACATGACAAAATTGTCCTTTGAACTGATTGCAACTGATGAAATTATAAGCCTTTGAATTTTTCCTCTGGAAGCTGCCAGAGGATGTGAGAAAGTCTTACTTGCCATGTTGATCCTAGAAGCAAAATATAAGTGGCATTTTCACAAAAGCAAGTTTTTCAAAGTAACCTTGTTAACTTGTGAAACCCTATCCTTACAAAAGATATTTGAGTAGATCCCTGTGGAACCAGGCATCCACCTCCTACAATTCAATAGACCAACTTCTACTCTCAATTATGTGCAAGCAGCCACACTGATGGCAATTTAGAGCAGTGTGTCTGAAGACGTTTAGTAGATTTGCCAGGGCCCATCTACAGCACGCAGCGAGCTGCCGGTTGGAGGAAGCTGAGCAGGTTTGGGTTGGCTGGTCCTGGCCCAGGTGTGGAATGGCTCTGCCAGGTGTCTGGGAGCCAGGCGCAGCAACGTCCTGATGCAGCTCAAGAGCTTTCAGAAGTGGGCTCTGGTGTCTCTGCATGCCACCGCTCTGCTCCATGACGTGTCGGCACACTCAGAGGCGGCTTTTGTGTTTATTTCTGCACCACATTCTGCTCTTGTTTAGGCAAACCCTCTGTTTTCTCAGGTCTATGAAGTCTAAAATCAATCTGCCAGCTACCTGCAATAGGCACACAGTACAACTTTTCCGGTCCAAAATCTAAAAAAATCTTCTTGTAAAAGAATGATTTTACCCATTTTCTATTTCCCTTCCCATGGCGTACATGCTTAATTATTGTGCACGAAGCCACATCACCCATAGGCATGTGCTTATCTGTGCAAATTTCTCTGAGACCCAAATCATTACCATTATTCATAATTATCTGCACTGCTTGATCTAGAGAAACACAGGACAAAGGAGATATCATTAACTGAGTCACCCACTGGATATTACAACTGAGGTATAAATCTAAACTCACATAAGCCTTGTGCCTGACAGTAATGCATCTGTAATCAATGGCAGATTTCTGAAACTCCCCTGCCATTCAGCCCAACAAAATTGTTTCTCCATATCTTCTCTCTTTGCCTCCACACTCAGTTAATTTTGGCTATGTCCGTATCATCTTTGCCTGGATCTCTTCGCTATAACATTTGGTCTCGGCAAGATCTCTTTCTCAGCAAACCAGCTTCTGTTCCTGTTTGGGTTTTTTTCTCCGTAGCTGGGTCAGTATCTGGTTAAAACATTTCTGGACTTGATCCTGTTCAGTAGAGTTGGATAAGTAAGAATAACAGCAGTGTCATAGCTGCAGACCTGTATGTTTTCAGCACTGCAAAACAACATGCATCCCCATCAGTTTTCCTTTGTTCTCATCACAGGACCTGCTCCACGACAGCAGTGAAGAAGTGCACCTCTCTGCAACGTAGATATCATCAAATAGTGGAACTAGCACAAATTCTACTTCTACCTTCCTCCTCCTATCCTTTGTTTCAGAGCTTTCCTGCTCTTGGATTGTGCATTGTTCTGGAGCTTGCTGTGGCTTTACTGGTTCCATGCCCAGCCCATGGGCACAATGGATGCTGTGGCACTGCTGTCAGCAGGACTTGTTCTGAGATCAGTGCAGAGATAGTTGAGGCTTGACCCTATAGCAAAACTCAAAACTCTGCGTAGTCTTGACCACAGTCCAGAGAAACACGGCTCATAAAGAACAGAATGGCTGGCTGATGCGGCTGATTCATTTAGCATATTATTCCAGATGTCTTTCACCATTTTTAGTGTAAGTAAGATGTCTCAGATGCGATGCTGGTCATTTCAGCTGTGTCTAGACTACAAGACTAAGGAGCACTTCCCAGTTCTTGGATCAAGGTGCATGCAGTTTTAGGTTTAAATGGCAGTAAATTATTTTTTTAACTAGTACTGGAGTTTATGAGTAGTATATTTAAAATAACTAGTGGCAGAATCTGATGGAGAAACATTCTCATGCTTCTTCAAGAATGTCAGTGTGGGTGCATGAGCGCAGGGAATAGTGCAGTAGCCAAGTATGTTGCAGTGAAAAGGTGTCTTGACCACCTCATGTCGTCATGTGAGGGTGTGGAGGACGGTGCGGCCATGACCTTCCTTCATTTCGCTCTGTCTTCTCATGGTTACAAGAAGGAGTCCCATCAAGAGTCCAACTCTTAGCTTCTGTTAAATCTCTGCAGAATTTTGAAACCTTCTTCCTTATTCCTTCAATAACCATGGTTGCCTTGAACCTTTCCTGACGAACGTCAGTGCTTAGACTTGATGTGGTTTTTGCAAGTGGAGTTCCTGCAGTTCTGATATCTTCTGGTGGCATCCACCCTGTGACAAATTGTTTCTATTAAGAGACTGTAACAAGAGGTATCTCATTTGACAAGGCAACTGCAGGTTCCCAGCAGAGGCTTGGTATCTTACTGTTTCCTGCTAAGAT